ACTGCTTACAAGTAGGAAAGATGGCATAGGTTCTGAACTATTTTCTTATTTGAATACAGGGTCTTAGAGCCTGCTGCCGTACTGGTGGCATTAATATTGATCCTTTCATGTGCATTATACTCAATATCATTGTATTTTATTAGAGGAGATTTTAGATTTTCGTGAGGGACTAGATTAAATTGATTTTTTCCAAGAGGAACAGCTGTTAAAGGATCCTCATGAAACACATTTCATGCAAAATGGTATGCCAGCTTCAGTGCATTAGACGTTACAAAAAAGTCTTCTTTTGTAGAGGTCGAAATATCCCCACTAGTATAGTTTTAGCTACAAAGATTGTATGGGTTGATGTTGCCCTTCATACAACTTGTAGAAAGCTCTGAGCCGATTCAGCTTTATGTATTTTTCTGGATTTCGTGCTGGACTCTGATGCGACTGTCATTTTCACCTTTTTATTGTTTGTTCCGCTGCTGTTTTTCTTGGCACTAAGTTTTGTTGCGTCTGTTTTTTTTTCACAAAAAAGGGAAAGCGCATCCTAGCAGTACACTAGGCAATAAAAAATCGACAGTCGTTGCCAAAAATCGCATAATAATCGCCACTGTTGCTAAACCGTAATTATGTCCACGCGGTTCTTTCAAATCGCAATTTGTAAGAAACCGCTAGTAGAAAGGAAACCCTGCCAAGGTCCATAAACGTGAGGAGGTCTAGCCTTTTCGGAGAAAATAAGTGCATTTTATAAAATGCCATTCGATTTTTCATAAATTTTTGTCTATTAAGACATTTTTGTGAGATCACTCGTTTTGGAGAAATTTTAGGTTTGAAATATTCTTATGGAAAGGTATAGCCCCCCTAACCTGAAAACATGGAGCTTGACATTGGAAACACCATATAGCATGTGAAGAAAGTACCTCAACCTCATTACAACACTAATTGAATACAAAACACCATAACATTAAACACTACAGTGCGAGCAAAAAATAATGCTGAATAAATTCAATAACATCTAACCTAACGGAATTGTTGAAAGCGATCACCTCTGGATTTACCACAAGCCTGTGTTCTACGCCACAAAGAGTTTCTGACTCTTTAGAATATGCCTGGCGTAGTACGACCGGCTTCTGTATACTTCGTCCTCATACTTCTTGTTCCAGGTTGCGAACGATTTGTGTTTAAATACCAAAGAATTTTGAGAAAAAAAGGCCTATAATTTCAGAAGTAAAGTAATAAGTATTTTACTCAATTTGATTCGTTCCACAATTACTAGTTGTGTAATTTTAGACAACCAGAAGAATCTGACCTCGGTAATACCGGGAGAAGCATACCCTGAAAACCAGTGGTGTGTATAGACAAAAGGTTTCATGAATTGTAAATTTTTAAGCTACTGATGGAGGATAAGACACGCTTATTATTTAAATGATGTAATGAGGTGCCATATCTTTCTTCACAAGCCATGTGGAATTTCCAACATCCAATATTTTAGGATTAAACCTCAAATATGCAAACCTAAATACCCCCAAAACGAGTGATCTGAACAAAAACAGAGGCAGACTAGAGGAAAAAATCATGGAGAATTGAATTGAATGGTATTTTTAAAAATCCCTCTAAAAAGGCCTGTGGCGTAGAAAATATTTCCTATTGTGTTTATTCCTTATGATGTGCTCGCTGAACATCTAACATCCTAATTCAGTATCTTCACCCGCTTCGTATAGATATTTTCACTCTGTATCTCGGAAGGGAAGCATTTTTGGACGCACATTTATAGGAACTTATTTTATATTTAGTTTTACTTTCTAAGCTAGAAATATTGGCACGTATTTCACAAGGTTATTGTCTCATAGGTTGCAGTGTAACTACCCATAACAAGCATAAGGGTGGCCACAGCGCCATCTATGATACCTTTTCAAAGTATATATGGAAAGTAGAGAAACAGCTGTGACAAATTCTGATAGATGCCGCTATGGTATCTTGGTAAGTATATTGTCGCAGCCTGCCCAGGCATTTATGGTCCGCTGTTCAATAAGAGCGCGCGAATTTGAACGTTGCACGCTGGTGCTTGTTTTGACAGAGCATAAATGAGATTATCATTATAGAACCCAATAAGCAGCTATCAAATTTTGATTAATTTGTGTAGTTGGAAGTCTATCTCACGTCATAAATTGAAAATTGCAAATGTGTAATAGTGTTCAAAGTTTGATTAAAATCAGTTCATAGGCAATCAGTTTACCAATTCGCTATTGTACCTGTCATAGAGCAGGCGTGCAGAAATGTAGATGTTCAACAAACTAGACTGGACTTGATTGCGTGGGGAACCCCAGCGAACCCTGACAACAGATGTCAGAGGAAGAGAATATTGTCACGGGTCGGATTTTCTAGTTTTGTAATTTATCCGTCACTAAGAATTGTTCGAAGTCCGACCGGGTTATTACGTAAAAAACCTATACACATAAATTTTTCGCGCCTACTACAAGTATTAAGCATGAAGTGGATTCCAACTAGGTTAAAGGTGATGCTTTATAGAAGAACCTACATAATGTGAAAAATGACATCAAGTGAGCTGACTCGGTACTTCCCACGCTACCCTGTAATCAGCTCATGAAGGATTATGTTTGGTACAAGTTAGCTTTTCTGTGAAAAAAGTTAGCCACGGACATGGGCGGAATTGCTGCAGGTGCATTTGATCGTTGCGATGACCAATTCCGAGTGAATGACAATATTGGTCTGCACCATGCACATTGCAGGCAGCCCACAGTAGTGTGGAAGCGATTGCTGACTGTGACCTGCAACCACCGACGATGATACTTGTCCATCGGGGGACGACGTTTCACGTATTGTCACCCGAAGTTTTGAGGATAAAATGTACGGCGACATTTGTGATGAGTAATATGTTACCTGGGTACGAGACGTATAAATACACAAACGTAAAAATATTAAGATATTCCCTCCCCCACTCCCCGCATCCCCTAACCCCCAATTTTTTGCGTCAGAAAATTATCAGGATCGTCTTGAGCATCAAAAAACTACTGGTAAGTTTAACCGATTTTTTTGTGTTTTTGCCCTTTTCTTCGCCACTACAGAATCGATTTTTAAAAACTACAAAGCTTTCTTGACGTTGATATAGTAGTAAAATTGTGTAGAAATTTCACTGATATCGGAAATCTCAAGTTATAGGCGGTTATAGGATTCGCGGACAGATAGACAAACCGACGGAAAGGAATAGCACGGTTTTTCGTTATGCACATTGCATATAATATCCAAAGAGCATAATATCTCATTTTAGAAAACTTGCGCGATTACAATACTTCACCATCAATAGGCGTAGGAAGTAAAAAATACGTAAACCCGATATATAAGACGAAGTACCTAAATAGTGTGCCAAGTGCCAAAAAACCGGTTTTTCATTTTATACTTGTAAGATGTTCTAGCTACCTTAACCAACAACATAGATAAAGCGTTAAGTGTCATGGCTATTATATTGGGTGGTATGAATAAAAATGAAGTACCTTCTAATACTACAAGTATTAGCATTTTCTACAAAGTATGTACTTCAAATCTGAGAAGAAGCTACATTTTCAAGTAGATACTTTTTGTTTTACCGGAACTTACTATATCAAGTAGTATTTACTGAAAGTACCTACTTCTTGTAGTAGATGCTACTAATTTGAAGAGGAATTTAGTATATGCTTGACTTTTGCGAAGTTGGTATAAGTGCAACTTCAGAGAGAATACTACGGTTAGTTTTGTTTAGTTTTCTTTGAAAATGGAAGGAATACGCAGCAGAAAAATATATAATGCAAGACGCCGCTATCATAGTGATATTTTATATCATAAAATATTTCGGTAATTTAACAATAATATTATTATTGTTTTTAATTACTTTTAAAATTGTTTATTCTTTTAGGTTTAGTAGAGAAAACGTATCTTACCTAGCGAATATATTTCTCTCAGAAGTAAATGAAACTCGAGGCGGTGCTCTTACACACATCCAACAAATGGAAGTATTTTTAAGAAGCTTAGGTATGTTTCAATAAATGAAATAGGATAAATAATCTAATTTTTATATCTTTATTTCAGGAGACCCTGGATTTCAGCTAGGCGTTGGACTTGATGTTGGGATTCATCAAACAACCGTTTCAAAAATTATTGATAAGGTATCACGTGAAATCTGTAGCAAGAAAAATCAGTGGGTTAAATTCCCTGCTACGGGAGCTATGTTTAACAGAGCTAAAGATGAATGGGCAGCACATAATACAATACCTCATGTCATTGGCGCCATTGACTGCACTCACGTGAAAATTATAAAACCATATGTACATGGCGATGAATATATTAACAGAAAAGGAGTTTCTACAATAAATGTACAAGCAACATGTAATAGCAGAGAAATGTTTACCAGTGTTGATGCTTCCTGGCCTGGGTCTGTTCATGATTCTAGAATATGGTACAATAGTCCTATTTACCCTATTATGTATAATAATCAAAAAAGAGTTTGTCTTTTGGGTGATTCTGGATATGGTGTAACTCCTTGGATGCTTACACCTTTCAAAGATCCCATAACAAACATTCAAAAGTATTTTAACAGAATACATGCAAGAGAACGTGTGATTATAGAAAAATGCTTTGGCCAGTTAAAAACAAGATTTCCTATGTTGAATTATACAATCCGACTTAAAACAGATAGAACATGTCGATATATTATGTGTGCATTTATTTTACATAATTGTGCAAAGTTTTTGAACGATCCAGATGAACATTTTGATGAAATGAACATAGAAGAAGAAGCAGTTATGCCTGAATTATATGCCGAACCAAACAACGGTGAAGTCCGACGCCGAGGTATCCAGTTTAGAAATGAAATTGCAACACTAATGTACAGACAGCGTTGAAAAAGTAAATAAATATTTGGATTGTTTGGATTTTATACATATTTATTTTATGAAGGTTCTGACAAAATAATTAAACCTAATAAACATGTTATACAAATAATAAGCATAAACCTTATTTCTCTTTTAACAAAAAAAAAAAACATATTAATCAGTAGGTATTTTTGAATCCAAATGAATTCAAAAGCTCGCCTGTTGTCGTGCAAAGTAATCTTCTACGAATTGCTCTACAGCTCCTGCGGACCTTTCGACAGCTAGAGCGGCCTTTTCTTGAGCTATAGCAGCTTTTTCTTGAGCTGCGGCAGTGTTGATTTGTTGAAGTAGTAATTTCTTTCGTAATTTAGCCATTAATTCTTTATCATCACAAAAAGGTATTTGATTCTCTTCATCGGTCAATGATATATCAACGTCTTGACTGGTGCCCTCAGTTACACCTCCTAAAACATTATTAAATTAAAAATTTTGCACCACAATAGTATTATTATTTTATATGGAGGAAAAGTGATTTTATGATGAGCCTGAATTAGACAGCCATGAAAATTAACTTTTCCTCCAAGTAAAATATGCTGTTTTTCTTCAAATGTCAAGAAATTAATCGCGGAAAAGTAAAAAGTGAAGCTCCGGCTGATGAAAAATAAAACTTCGTGGCCGCATACAAGTCAAGCAATAAATGATTTACTGACGTTTGAAGAAAAAATATATAATATCAAATAATACAGTACCTGGCACTTGTTGAATTACTGGATTCTCACTCCCATTCCATAGGTTGAAAATTTTTTTTTGCCACTCATTTAACTTAATTTTCCTATTTCCTGTTTTCTTCATATCGGTAATATTTTTAATTTTACTTTTCATATTATTAACTTTTTTTAATACCTGTTTTGCATCTAAATTTTGTTTTGTATTTCTGTTAATTCTTTAAGTGCTTTGTCTTTGGCAGACTTAACGGGAGGTGTCATTTTTTTATCCAGAATAATTTTGTAGTCTTCTAACATCGTAACAAAGGCTAACTGCAAATCTTCATTTTGGGACTCTTCTTGATTTGGCATTTCCTCGTCGGAAGACATTTTAACGCGCCTGCCGTACAATACCAAGTATGTGAATATTTCAAATAAAATAAAACTACATGTGTGACCTGTCGAAACTTGTGGAAATGAGAAGATGCTACTCAATTTAAAGCATTTACTTCGGAATAAAAGTAGATACTACAGGCACGATAGTAAGTACTTCGACGTAAAGCAAATACTACCAGAACTGATTGGATACTTCATGGCGAAGTATTTACTTTGAAGTAGATTCTTAAAATTGTAGTATAAGCATATACTTTTTTATTCATACCTCTCATTGTACTGAAAAAATCCCAACAGAGTGCGCGCTTGTCAATCGCCATAACGCCACCGGTAAAAAATGTGTTAAGTGCCAATAAATACAACCTTGTTTATTTATATAAATATAAATGTTATTGTTTTTATGGATTTCCTTAGTTTCTAAGGGGTATTTCGATGGGTCAATCAAAAATGACTAGTGTCGTGTCATTCTTTTATGAGCTGTGACAGGGATTTCGCCCAAATTGAAAAACGAAAAATGCAAGAGAAATCCGAGGTACCTATGGATTTGGTGAGAATGATGATAGCAGCAGTGAAAAAAAACACTATTTCCTGTTACAGTCATGAAGCGTGATGACTTAATCAATTTTAATCTTGCTTGTGAAAGTTCAGTCAATACATTCAAGCTTCAACTTTTGAAAGCCCAGTGAATCAATATTAGCCGAGAAGATCCAGGGTTCGTTAGCATCCGAGAAACTATGAACGAAATAGAGCATTGAAAAACAACGAAGATTTTGAAGAAAAATGTTACTATTGAAACTGTCGCAAAAATGACTCTTCCAAACCTGACCTTCCAAATTAGAAGATCTGCTGGCGATGATTCCTTATTTGAAGGAAGAAAGTATACAATTTTATAAAGATCTGTTGAATACTGATATATATTCATTAAAGCTAAAGTTTTCAAGTTTTTTTTTTCGTTATTATTTACCACAGTACTTACATTTTTGTAATGGCACTCAACACATTTTATGATTTTGTAAATTTATAATCTTGTTCTGCTATTTTTTACAAAGAGTTCACGAAAATATTAGTACACAGAAAAATACTTACGTGAATAAACATATGTTTAATTTTCAGAGTCTTTTTAATACATTTATTCTAGAACAAAAAAATATTGTTTATAAAATAATAATTTTGGCACTTAGCACCTTAATTATTTCAAGTCTTTATATGTAATGTCACTATTCAACTTACGTAATACGGGTGCAGGTCTCTTATTACGCACAACCCACACTGAGAGTGTATAAGCACCCTATACAACCATTTCGTAAACATCTTTTGAAGTAACTGTACTCGGTGCTTCACATAGTACGGCTTGCTGAGATTAAAAAAGTTATTGACACTAACGTGTCGAGAAGCATAAACATGTTTCTGTGTTGGATTCGGTGGGCATCGGTGAAAGAAACATATAATTTCGACGTTTCCCCTTTCATCTTAGGCCCGCAGATGAATCAAGGAAGATGTTTTCATCCAGCCTCATTATCTAGACAGGCGTGCACATAGGGCACCCGTATATCCGTGGCTTCAGATTATGTTTCTTTAGAGAAGAGAAGCAGAGCAGTGGTGGTGCATGCCTTCACGTATTCGACATTATATTCAGAAAATAAAAGGAACCCTACACGGACAGTGACATGGGTGAGCGACGAAGGACAAGGACCTTCCCTATAAAAAGAAGAGGCAGGTAGGCCTCTGTCGACAGCAGGGTACATGTGTGCCTGTGTCAAGAGATACAAATACTCGAATGTAAACACTGTTATTGTGACCAATGTAAGGGACAAGAAAGTAGAGTGTTTTGTTTGGAATATACCCCAAAATGAACCCCAAAATGAAAATCGCAACGAATCACATTAGAAGATGCAGCGTAATAATGCTAATTTTTTCATATGGGGTTACATGCATAAGATGATTAGGTTACTTAAAAGATGGAACTGGGCTGCTGGAGCAAAAAACCGTTCTTTCCTTTTCTTCACTTTATTTGAGGTGGGATTCCAAAATAAATGGAACATTAACATTGTCAGTTTTTTCCACTACGATATGGGATAAAGAGTTCCAATAAGACTTGTCACTTGCGCTCGACCATCAACTTAATTTTTCCTCATGGACACCATACTGGATACTGATTAAAGTGTGTTCTTTCACTGTTCCGCCTGAATCGACGTTGCCTAGCGGTCTCAGCGGTGACCTGATTGTCAAATACGTACTAGGTTACAGTTCCAACAAACATCTGCTGTTCACTTTCGCAGTGGACCATTCTGGTAATAGATAGACTAAGTGCTGTCTTATTATGATAGACCTTATATATCATACGGAGGACAGTTGCTTTGCTTTTATTCCTTGCCTCCCTGAAACCAAGCCTAGACCGATCTGATGAGTTATATATATATATATATATAATCTTACAGACTAGGTAGTTTTTAGGGTGTAAACAGTCATTCCACGTTTGCTCACTAGGTTCGTTGTGAGCATCATCTATGTAGGAATGATTCAACTACACGCATTGTTGGTTGCATATGTTTTGTGCAGCCGAGTAGTCTGTAGTTTTTATCTCTGAAGAGATGTGAAACAAAAGAAGTTGGTTGAATAGCAATAACGCATTTGATGATTATGGGTATTGGTTTGAATGTGTATAAAATCAGTGATACTTGCTGTGTGAGAAAATTATTACTGAATATGCTGCCAATGAAGTATATCCTAGCTGCGCCCGACGGGTTCTTTATGTTGTCCTTTCTGAATTCAGATTATGTTCAAAGTTATAAATTACGATTTTCCCGTTTTTTATGTTTTCAAAGCGCTGCGAGAATCGCACCCACGTTGTGTACAATTAAGCCATGTCGTAGAAACATTAGTAATGACTCATCACACATCAAACATTTTCGCAATGCCTCAAATCCAGGCGCTGATTTGTACTTTCTATTGACATGTCAAAATAAATTTCTATAAAATTTGAATGTCTGGTAATAAAAACTAATGTAATAACCTTTTCACATTCATAAATACTCCTGTCTGTAGCATATTTCCTCACCTGTTCCTTCACCAACCAGGGATGGTTTTTCTTTTCTTATCTCTCTCATTTTTAAAATTCAGCAAATTTGCATATGAAATTTGGAGAGCAAAAATCAATTGGAATTATCATCAACACATTCCATTTGTTCCGGAAGATGTATCCAGTATACAACTTCTGCCCGTTCAAGTGATTGTGCACGCGTTAAGGAATACCTTAGTAGCGATTGCCGGGTGGCGGTACAAGTCCGCCAACGGGCCACTTTAAGTCTATTTAATATCACTAACACGTAGAAAGAAGGTGGTAGACAAGGACCAGTCGACCAAGGCTGTACCACCCGCTAGCTTTTCCCAGGGTGTCTTATAAATGTCCGCATGTTTCCACACCTACTCTATGCAGTCGGTTATCTTCCAAAACAAAGATATTAATGATAATGGATCCCTCGAGCACTAAGAACTCCGGACGTAAACTCACTCCGCTCTCGGAATGTCCGGGTGGAGGGTGGGCTCGAGGGAACACCATCGACGATAAAATTGGTTTTTCGAACATCTGCGGGATTAACAGCAACATTGATGCTGTTCATCACTACCTGCAATCCAATCGTCCCGCTGTGCTTTTGTTGGCGGAGACAAAAATCTCAGAGTCTGCACCGATTAACCATCTTAACTTCCCAAACTACGAGTGCACTCCAATCTGAAAAAGAACGGGGGAATTGCGGCTTTTGTCCGCAGCAGTCTTTCCTGCTCCAGAGATGTTTCTCTGGAATCAGGCCGGAAGGACATTCTGTGGCTTCGCGTCAACTCCAAAACATCAGCCAAATTTATTTGCTGCCTTTATCGTTCTCCCTCGGACCATAACTGGGATGACCTACTCGAATACCTCGCCGTCCAGATCGACTTCCTGGACATCAATCACCCCACTTCAGAGGTAGTTCGTCTCGGTGGTTTCAATGCCCATAATGAGATTTGGTTGGGCTCAAACAAGAACGATGCAGCAGGTCGTGCAGTCGAAGCGTTCGCTCTTACTCAAAGGCTGACCCAGCTGGTGACGAGCCCTACTCTTTTTCCCCGCGTCTCGTCACACGCCAGTAGCCTGCTGGATCTCTTTCTGACCACGCATCCTGTCATTTACAGCACTGCTGTCCTGTCCACCCTGGGTAACTCAGACCACGGTGTTGTGGAGGTTAGGTTTCGGTCAGAACCCACTGTGGCAGCAGAAACTCGTACAGGCCGCAAAACTTGGCATTACTGACATGCCGGCTGGGAGGTACTCAGAAACTCCTTCTCTAGCTTTCCTGGGACAGATGTGTGTTTCACTGACGCGGATGCGTCGGCTGTCTGTTCTTCGATAACCGAAATTATCCACGTCGTCGGAATGGAGGAATACATCCCTCACACAGTGAAAGTGCCTAAACCAGGGTCCAACGGCTGGTTTAACAAATCTTGTGACGCTGCTCGCCAGCAGAAGATTAAGACACACAGAACCTTCTCAAAAAACCCCACTGTAGAGAACAGACAAGCCGACGTTAAGTCCAGAAACAGATATAGAGAAGCGGCTCGCAATGCCAAAAACCAGCACGATATAACAGTTAGGCATAGGGTAATGTCGCAACGCAATGGCAGGCGGAAGTGCTAGCCAAGATCTTTGCTGCCAACTCCACCATGGACGTCCCTGCCATTGTACTGAAGAGGTGTGCAGCGGAACTTGCTCCAGTTCTTTCGCGCCTCTTCCAGATATCTTATGAATCCGGCACGTTCCCAGAAAACTGGAAAT